ACCGTGATGTAAGATAACTTAAACTATGTTTACCGTTCATGATGCACTGCTACGTTAGTCTGCTTTATAAGCATTTAACTGCTCTGGTCGAGTTTTTAATTTCAATATGATTAAACGTTCTTTAAATGCGTTTCTGTTAAAAATGATGCAAAGTTGTCAATTTTAGTACTTTCAATTTGAAGAAAAGGTCCTGTTAGTACCTTCTTAATACTTGATGAAAATTTTGCGGGGTTTGTTTTACCAGGGCGGTTCATGGCGCCTCCTGGAATAAGCTGTACCTTCCCTTGGTGAATCGTCATCAGTTTATCGTACGTTATTCAGGTTATTGATTGGAAAAAAATTTATACTTTTGAACCTTTGTTCGTCTATTTTCAGGGGATAGGGGTGGGCTCACTTCTTTCGGAGGTCGTTACTTACGGACTTTTACGATTCGCTACGTGCACGGGCCATTGGCCAAGCTATTGGTAGCCGTACATGGTCACTTAAAACACTGACAATCNTTTTTTTTTTTTTTTTTTGCCCTCGGCTGTGTAATTGTGCGATATTTTCCTCACAATAACTTGAATTGCCGAGTATGATAATACTGCACGTGGCTCCCACTGCCAACAACATAACAGAAAAGTATTCCAGATCATCAGGGTTTTTATTCCTTAAGATCTGTTTTAGATTGATTAATCAAACGTTCCTTTACTCCATTTCTCTGCGGTACTTACAGTGGAAGCCCTGTGCGTCCCGTCATGTTTGTGCAAGTCTCTACGTCCCAAGAATTTATTTCATAAGTCAGCGCTTTTTATGCCAACCTGAATGTTGTGTACATTAACGGGAGCGCTATTTGTTTCTGCTCGCACAAGTTCTCTTTCCCGAGTTGCTTGGCTCCTGCCCACCAATCGCATGTTGAAAATCACGGAAAGTTTTAAACAGTTGACACTGAAAAGCCAGGTTATTTAGTTTGCCATTCTTTTATATTAGCTTATATTGATCGCATTGTTGGATGCTCTCATTCTCACGGTTAAGCGGTAGAGCACAGGAATAAAGATACTATCTTGCCTTGAGTACACACTCTGAAATTACTGGGAACACACATGATGAGCGACACCGCATATGGAGATGTTATGATTCCTAAACAAGACGAGGATTGTAGCTAACTGTACTCTCACCTGGAACCCGGAAGGCAAGAGAAGTCGCAGCTGACTTAAGATTGCGTGGAGGCGAACAGTTGAAGTTGAGCGTAAAAAGCTGGGCCTGGACTGACTAAAATGACGTGGAAGATCGTGGAACAGCGAGAGAAAGACCGTGAAGGATGGAAGATGTTAAGGTCCACTCACGGGAGCAAACAGGTTGAGCGAGTATGTGTGTGAAGCAGATTCATCAACAAATTCTTAAGACAAATTCTAAAGACAAATTCTTGCAAAAAATTCTTACGACAAATTCTTACGACAGATACTCGGAATCAGGTGGCCTGAAAAAATCTCCAACAAAAATACATGACAACAGAGCGGCCAGGAAACGATCCATCTTATCATCAAAAGGACGCGCTGAAGTTGGCATAACTTGAGCAACACCTAGGAGTGCAGCATCACACGTCTTTAGATTGGAACGGACTGGGTGGAAGGAAACAAGGGCGACCCAAAAACAGCTGGTGTTGTGGCCGGTAGAGAGATTTAGATCAGGAAAGCATGGGTTGGGGCGAAGTTAAGAAGAGGGCCAAGAAACGATTTAGCTGACGAACTACAGTGGACACTCTGTGTCGCCTCTGGGACCAAGAAGAATAAATCAATTCAATTGTGAACTAAACTTTGTCAACCAAGACACAGTCACCTACACGCAGCACAAAAATTAATGCTGAGGAGCTGAATGTTACGTGACTAATGTATGCGAGTTACCAGTCACGTGTCATGTTAATGTATGATGTTGGATCACGTGGATTTACCGTGTAAGAGTCGAAGATCTATCGTTTGAATGAAGGTTGTAGAACTAAACATGGTGGCAGCGGTGCAAATATCGGAAAAAACCGTTTGATATCGAACCGTAACAACGTTTGGAAGTGTATAGGATGCCTGGAGATCCTCCACCATCGACAACGGGTGAACAGCAAGCCTTGGGCGCGCAGTCACCGCCTATCTTACAAGGAATACAGCCGCCCACAGGCCTGGATCTGTCGGGACAAAACAAGGCTGTGAATTGGAAGGTGTACAAGCAGCAATGGGAAAACTACACCATTGTAGCACAGCTGGAAAAGCAAACAGAAGAGTACAGAGTGACACTACTTCTATACTCGATAGGATCCGAGGCGGTCAAGACATACAATAGCTTTGATTTGAATGAAGAGAACCGGCGTAAGCTATCGGAGATAATCAAGGAATTTGACAAGTATGCGATTGGAGAAACCAATGAGACTTATGAACGCTACATGTTCAACAGTCGCAACCAGAAGAAAGGTGAATCCATTGATACGTATGTAGGAGAACTGAGAACACTTGCACAATCGTGCAATTTCTGTACTTATTTACACGATTCGCTAATACGAGATCGAATTGTCCTTGGCATACGTGGTGCTGATACAAGCAAGCGCCTATTGCGCCAGACCAAGTTGACGTTACAAAAATGCATCGAAATTGTAAAGAGTGATGAAGTTTCAAGCACCCAGCTGAGGAACATGGACCAGACCACGAAGCCAGATGAGGTCCATGAAGTTGAATCGAGAAAACCAAAGAAACCAGAGCACAAATATCCTAAGCAAACAGGCCGGTTTCCGAAACATGCCAATCGGAAGCTAGATAAGGAACAGATGCCGGCAAGAGATAAGCCGTGCGAGTTCTGTGGAAGAAAACATCGCAAAGGCAGAGACAACTGTTCCGCTTGGGGCCGTGTGTGTGGAGCGTGTAGCAGAAAAAACCACTTTGCGGCACAGTGTAAAGCAAAAGAAAAGGCACACAATGTCGAAGTCGAAGACGAAACAAGTGAAGAAGAAACAAGCGAAGAAGAATTCCTTTATTGTGTGACTACAAAACCAGAATTCACAGGAACTGTCAACAGCGTCACGGAACGCGAAATCCACGCACAGATGCTTATCAACGAGAAGTCTGTAAAGTTCCATATTGATTGTGGCGCAACAGTAAACGTATTACCAAACAAATACGTCAACAAGCAAGATATCCAGCCGACGAAACGTGTCTTGCAGATGTCGAACAAGACTGAACTCAAACCAGAAGGGACCTGTCGCGTGACCTTACGCAATCCCAGAAACCGCAAGAAATACTCAGTCGAGTTCATTGTTGTGAAGGAGAATTTGACTCCATTGTTGGGCTCAAAGGTGATCCAGCAGATGGGACTTATAAAAGTGCACGAGGAGAACTTTGAAAAAGTAGCTGCAACAAAATTAGCAATTAAGAAGGCGCCAACAGCACAAGAGATCATCGTGCGCCCTGACAGACCCAGAGACTCGATATGCACAGATAGAAAAGGAGATGCTAGCCGTAGTGTTTGCGTTTCAGAAATTCGATCAGTGCGTATATGGTCGCCCCGTAACTGTTCAGAGCGACCATAAACCGCTAGCAGCCATCTCCAAGAAACCACTCCGAAGTGCACCCAAGAGACTCCAAGGGATGCTGTTGAAAGTGTAGAAGTATGACGTGTCCATCGTCTACAAACCAGGGCTTGAGATGTACCTGTCTGACACCCTAAGCAGAGCATTTCTTCCCACAAATCAGAGTGATCAGGGAGAGTTTGAGCGTGCGAGTGCTGTGAAACTGCTGCCAGTGACTGACGAGAGACTCGAGGAGCTGGGGAACAGCACCTGTGATGATGAAGTTTTGCAAGAGCTAAAAGAAGTAATCCAGACTGGCTGGCCAGAGAGGCAGTAGCTCCCGGCCGTACTTGCTCCTTACTTTTACTTCAGGGATGAGATGAGCGTCTACGACGGTCTCGTTTTCAAAGGCGAGCGACCCCTTATCCCCAAACTGATGCGTATGAAGATGAAAGAACGCATTCACAGTTCACACATAGGACTGAACGGCTGCCTGAGAAGAGCCAGGGAGTGCATGTACTGGCCCGGCATGACTGGAGAACTGAAGGAGTACATATCACAATGCAAGACATGCAGCAAATATGAGGCAAAACAACCGAGGGAATCCTTGATGAGCCACGAAATCGCAGAGCGCCCGTGGGAGAAGATCGGTGCAGATTTGTACATTATTGATGGCAAAGACTACCTAATTATTGTGGACTATTTCTCAAACTTCTGGGAAATCGACCATCTTCCCGACACAAAAGCGGGCACTGTCATCAAGAAGCTGAAGTGCAATTTCGCGAGACAAGGAATACCAGACATCGTGATAAGTGACAATGGTCCACAGTTCGCTTGCGAGAAATTTACCAACTTTGCAAACGAATGGGGTTTTGAGCACCGACCGGGGAGTCCTGGGCACCAACAAACGAATGGCAAAGCAGAAGCAGCTGTCAAAGATGCGAAACGCCTCCTGCGTAAGGCCAAAGAAGCCAAAGGAGACATCTACCTTGCAGTGCTGGCACTGCGTAACACACCCACGGAATCAATGGGGACCAGTCCTGCCCAGCGGTTGTTAGGTCGACGTTGCAAAACACAACTCCCGGCAACCAAAGAGCTACTAATGCCGCAGTCTGTACACACTGAAGCAGTAAAGAAGAAAGTCCAGGCGAGACGAGCGCGACAAGCCAAGTACTACAACAAGGGGACCCGTGACCTCTCCCCCTTAGAAGAAGGAGCTGTGGTGAGAATGAGGCCATTTACACTTGGACAGAAAGCATGGGAAAAGGCAACGTACGTGCCAGTGGGCACAATGGGCAGTGAGTGAGTGAGTATAATAATGTACCGCTGAAATAGAGACATCAAGATCCCCCTGATCGGGCATACCCCGGGAATTTAACTAATTGATGTGCCCAGGGAAGTGGGGGGTTTACGTCAGTGCTTGTTATTACGGGTGGGGAGTTTGACACCATTTGGAAGGGATGACGAGGTGGGGGGGGGGGGGGTAATGAATTTTAATTGAGTTACCCGGTCCATTTCTCAGCCATGAGTTAAAAAGCGTGTTATTTCTTAGCTTAAGACTTTGTTAAACTCTCAGCTATCAGTTGAATTCCATATAGGTCTTTTANGGGGGGGGGGGGGGGGGGGGGGGGGGTAATGAAATTTAATTGAGTTACCTTGAAATAATGGTGAACATAAAACGACAACACTGTCCTACGCAACGTTAAAAACTAGAAAGGCCTTCAGAAACATGTATGCAGTGTTTAGCCACTTTTATTTAAGAAATAGAAAACATGTACCGTGTTTCTATCGAGGTTTAGTGTAAATCTACTAGCGTTCTATCCCGAATGCCGTCCTCTGATTGGCTACGCTACTCACTATCTATTCTGTGATAGATAGTGAGTAGCGTAGCAGTGTGCGCGTGTTACCAAAATGACGGCCGCTTCTTGGCGTTTTCGAAGTGTCTGTGAAGAGGAATTAGATAAAGTTTTGAACGACTAGTAGATTTCTACTAAAACAATTAGATTATTCGCTCTTGATTTCTAAGCGTGATAGTTGACACGGGCTGCGTCCTTGTCAACTATCACGCAATAGAAATCCCGAGCTCATAATCTAATTGTTGAATAGAAACACGCGTGAAAGTTTGGGAGAACTCGAAAGAGCAGTGGAAACACTCGCCTACGGCTCGTGTTCCCACAACATTTCTCGTTCTCCCAAACTTCCACTCGTGTTTCTATAACTCGACAGAAACACGGTACATGTTTTGTATTCCTTAAATGATATATGAAGGCAATACTTGGGACACAATGGAATCCTGTGGCATGTCGAGACGAAGGAAATCACTGCGAAAGTTCTAAAGCTAATTAAACAAACTTTCAGGAACAAAAACGCAGTAAAGCAATAAGATTTCGCTTCACCATGCAAGGGCAATAATTTCGATGGCTTCGAAAATGGCGGAGGCTGGTTAGGATCCTTTAAGTAAAACTGACCGAGGAGTATTTTAGAATTCACCAGGACCAAGAAAGATTAATTAACCGGGTAGGGAAAAAACAACTCATCAAGTGTGAATAACAGGTCTGTTACTGATAAGTCTACAGTTGAACCTCTCTTATATGGAACGCTGTAATTTTGAGCAACCAGAGGAATCACTCGAATTAAGTCAAATCACTGGCTTAGATGTGTCTTTTCAGTCATTTTTCATCAGCTATAGCTCGTACCCAGCCATCTTGAACTATCTTTCGTTATTCTGATGTTCAACTTCAAACTTACTGCTATGAATGACGTCGCATCAACAATATTCCTGGCATCAGGCACCCCATGCCATGTACAAAAAAAATGGGCACCTTTTGATAAGTTAAAATTCAGCTTGGTAGCGAGGCCTGGAGGACACAAGCGAAGGAAACTGGAAAGCATGTTTATTCATCTCTGTCGAATCTCTGTTGTTCATGTCCTTAAGCTTGTGAAGTTGAGTTTAAGATATCAAAAGAAGCCTATTGACCCAATTACTCCTGACGGTATTCGAGCTTACAATTACGTCATTCACAACCGGGTACATAGTACATGACGTGGTACATGACTGAGAACATTACTTCATTAATTGTGATTAGCTGCGTGCAGGCACATTCACCACTGCACTCGGTGCAAATTAATGTGGGCGTGTTCATACTTACTCTGTCATTAATTGAGGCTCATTTGATATATGAATAATGCTATGAAAGCTCCAGCAATCAAGGTTTTACACTACTCTTGATATTTAAAAATTCTTTGAAATTACACTGGAATAAAGGCTCCTGCAGTTTGAGAGAATTTTCAAATATCACTCGTAGTGTAAATCCTTAATTGCACTCGAATTCATAGGATTTCCTGCACTAATTCATTTCTGAGGACACACAAGAGACAAGCTAACTTGAGTAAGGTCTCCCACAAAGAAGAGAACATTGGCTAAAGACCCGGGGGAGGCAATCCCAGAAAAATTGGGTGGGGCTGTGCGTACCGCTTCGCAAAACCCTTACCCAATTTAAGACCAAATTCTCCGATTTTCTCTGCCCTATTTATGACCTAACCAAAAATTTAAGACCTAAACCTTAAATTAATACCCCTTTTCAGATATGCCTTACAATTAGTTCCCTAGCTCAGACCTAATTGTCTACCTAATTCAAGACTAGAGTGCAAAACCCATACCCTATTTGTGACCAAAATGGCCAAAATCTACACCCTATTACGACCAAACCGGCTAAAATACCATACCCTTTGGGGCCGCACATATCTATATGGGTCATATAAGGGAGTATCCCCCCGGGACTAAAGGCTCCCGACTGTGCATTGTAGTTGTCTTCATCAGTTTCTCAGGTTTCTTTTTAAGACGGGTTGGTTGGTGAATAATGACTTGATACTACTGACGATGACAGGAGAGCATGTGCTTGGGTAGCTTCTACAGCTACACAGATCTAATGCTTTCAAGGTTGTACGAACCCGGTGTTGAAACACTTTTAGTTTCAGTTAATAATGACTAGTGAGCTGGAGATCACTCTGTCCCGGGGGGGAGGGGTACGTCCTTCTAATGGCCACTAAGAATGTGCCGCTGTATGGGCCAGTAACATTTTCACGACCAGATTGACGATTAAGGCGTTACATTGTAAACTGAGTTACTAAAATGACGCGGCACATTTCCAGCACGACTGTCCCCTTGAAAATTGAAAGAGGTTCATTTTAGGGTAACCTTTTAATCTCCTTTTCCGTTCCTTTCTTAATGACTCCGGCCTCTATAAGTTCATTCTATTACAAAATGATTCATCCTCCCGAATACCACGATCTAGAAAAACAAGGAAGATTCATTAAAAACCAAATGACCAAGTTAATTAGGATCGCATCTTTCACATTTGTAAATAGTAATGATAGATGGGTCTAAAATAGGCTCCATACTAGACTATAACAGGCAGCTTACCTTAAGCAATAATTATCTCTCATTGAAATTTCTGGCATGCGCACGTTTTGCTACCAGTTAACGGGTCGTTAATGATTGCCAAGTTCCCAGGCACAGATCTAGATATCAACTTACTTTGTACAGCTTCAAACGATAGAACCACCATACTCACCTTCAAAGTTCTTGGATCTGTAAAGAAGATTAGCAGTGATTTTCCTACTGACACTAGACGAATATGAATACTGCCAATGGTGTGACAAAAAGATTATGCAAAGGATCAAGCAATTTGGACAGTAATGGCTGATATTTGATTTAACCTTCGCAATAAAGTTCAGTGGCAACCTCTCGGGTGTGTTCTAGTTAACCTGCGTCAATATTTGCCTCGCTATTCAATCATTACACTCATCAGTTCTAAAAAGACTTTATTTCACTTGACGTGAAAACAGTTTACATAAAATTACGTCTCTATCAAAATCTCTTTAGAATCTAAAAGGCATAAAACTTGACAAATCATTATTAAAAAGCGTTACATAGTTTCGTAATTGCATGTTATTGCTTGTAAAATGATAACAACCAAATAAAACCCAACGTTTATTGTATCTAAACAGGCTGTGATAGAGACCTCAGAAACATATGTTATTGCTGGGACTTCTTACTATCACCAAGAGCTTGCGTTCCGTATTTGAAAAGTGAGAAATCATTAATATGAACTCAAAGTAGTTATTTCTGAAGCATTAACAAGTTTTCCTTGAAGAAGAAAGATTTCACATCTATTTGCCCACATTCAACAGACCACCATTGAGTCTTTGGCTTTCCTGATTGAGGCTGCGAAAGCGCGCTAATTAAAACCTGCGATCGATTGGAAAAACAAGGTCAACAAGAAATAAATATTAACTTGTGCGCTAATTGAAACCTGCGATCGATCGATTGGAAAAACAAGGTCAACAAGAAAAAAATATTAACTTGAAATTGTATTAACACCTGCCGTTCCGTACACAATGCGGCAGTAACATCATCCTTTTCCACGTGTTTCTCTTATTTAATTGCAACACAAACACGTTCCTACGTTTCAATTTTACGCAACGTGTTGTGATCCAAAACAAGGTTGAATCTCTCTCAAAGTTAACAACCTCCAATTATTTTACAAAGTCTTGCTCAGAACTATTCTTGAGATCGGGGGTGCTTGCCATTTAGCCAAAAATCCGGAAATATCGGTTGAAAGTCTAACGGAACAGTAAGAAATCTGTTAGGAAATTGTCCACTACCTCCAGAGGTCGTCCTCTTTTTCCGTTCGGAACGGAACGGCGGAAATTTCCTTGACGTTTGCTTCATTTTCCCGTTTCCAATCTCTCAACAACCGAAAACAATAACGGGAAATCGAATTGCAAATGGTATACGCCATCTCGTTTGGTTGGTTTTTGGATTTTGAAAAAACCCTTACCATAATTCAACGGTCATCCCAACTGATTTATTCGGGCAAATGGCAAGCACCCCGGCTCTCCATGAGAACAGTACTATCATTTTGTCACTACACGGCGGACTCTCTCCAGGATAGTCCTAGCAAGTGCCAGGGCTTCGTGAGCAATCTCCATCACTGAGTATACATCATTGGGAATCTGGGGATAGCTAACTTGGTCCGGATAGCGCATGCGTGTTGAATCCACCACTTGATGCTCCAGCTGGTTGGCGAGTCTCGTCAGTTCAGAGTCTCCAAGCCGTGAGGCGTTGCGCATAAGATTTTTAACATTCGTTTTGAACGCATCTTCCGCGTATTGGGCGGCCTTAAGCGCCTTCTCTGCACTTTGAAAGACAGAGAAAGTCGTGACTACTTACATGTACAATTATTTAGGGTCTGTAAGCCATAAATCATATCGAAACAAATGAATAGTTGTAAAGGGCTATGAATTGCAAACAACGCGGCAAAGCCACTGAATATATATACCTCTCAATTATCTCTTCTCCTCGGTCCGTACTGCAAGTTACGGACCGAGTTTTTTCCCCTTCGCGCGGGCCATAAATCGACGAGGAAAACACGAGGATCCGCAACTTACAGTACGGACCGAGAAGACGAGGTAAATAAGATATTTATTATATCCCTCCTGTTTGTCCGACGGGTTCGGGAACGATGTCTGTTCATGCGGAACGGCTTCAAATTCGAAAGCGAAACGAGTCAATTTGAAATCGTTGTTAAGTCATAAGCACGTTTTAATACATAACTTAAAGTAAAAGAAAGTTTTAAACTTCTACTTGCTATAAAAGTTAAGAACACTTGGTGATCAATCACGAAACATTTTAGCAACAGAAACAGGTTTAGCGTTAATTAATTATACTAATCACAGCGCGCGTAGTAGCTGAGAGATATAATAAAACACATTATATATTTCAACAGCAGGATAAAGATTTTGAGACGTAACAGATCGTCGTAGTTAGGTAAGTTACTTGGCCAGTTATAAAAGTGAAGCCTGAAAAAAAGAATCAGTACTTGGTACCGACATGCAAGTGAATATGAAGCATCAAGTATGAATTCTTTTCAGGCTTCATTTTCGTAACTGCCAAGGCTGCGTCTATAACTGCAATGATCTCTCGTGTCGTTAAAACTCCGCGCAAAGTAGTAACGGCCAATGAGACAAGTTTTTACTTCTCGCCGAGGCACAGGAAAGGAAATAAACTTAAGCTGATCGAGGGAAGAGAAAATCTATATTTTTTTGTTTTAAATATTTCCCAGGCTTTCCTATGATTACAAAGTAGTTATGTCTCACGCGTGCAGAATTTTCTTTGAAAAATATGCTCTCGGAACGCGCAAAATTGTAGCCCGCTGTGCAAAACGTAATGTTTTTGGCTGGCTGTGCAACCTATGAAATGTTTCCTCTCTCTTCCTTTGGAAAATATTTGACAATCACCACTTCACTGAGCAGTTTAAATTAAATAAATAGGGTATATGAGATAATTAGGGTTAATTTCGGGTTGATAATTACCTATCGCTTGCCCATAAAAACTAAGGCCTATTTGCAGGACATTTGATAAGTGCAATACGGTTTGTAATGGTTTGTAATTAATCAAACGAGTGCTCAATATCATAACCTGAGCACTGCCACACCCATGTATAGGTCTTTGCGAACATAATATTATCATTCGATGCATTTTTTCCTTCCGTTTCACTGGCCGAGAGCCCATCACGTGACCTGCAATTAACCGCCTACAAATAACGATCTGCTCATGCGTAGTACCGTCTAAATGTGTCTTGTTGCAAATCATATTCTGCTCGTGTGTAATTGTAAGCACGCTTTTGTGTGAAAAATGGCACATTGCTTCCTTGAGCTGAAATAAAGTAGTTTAAATATGAAAACAAACTTGACGATCGAATCATATAAAACAACTATTGGACTCGGTTATCGCAAAATATCTTTAATTTTCAGTGTCTCGCCGATCAATTATTTGCCTCAGCGTTCGGCTTGGGCAATAATTGATCAGGGTTTTGTTCAACCTCAGTGTCCAATGTTTGCAGAGACAGATAACATTCTCCGTGGTTCTGTTGAGTTAAGAGACACGAGTGCCGGAAGTTTGGACGACCGAGAAACGCCGTGGGAACACGAGCCGCATATAAAAGTACGGCTTTAATTACAGGGTGTTTTCTAACTTCCAGTTGTAACTTATGTCCCTACTTTAGCCGTTTGTCTTTGTTTTGTCTCGTAACAGTTGTTTTTTTCTATTTTCGGCGAGGCTCTTTATGTTTTCATATGACCGCGGAATTATTTCGTGCTGTTGGGATTGAAAACGTTTCATCAAGCCGGTCAAACTTGGATGCAAAAAAAGCAATTTTTGGCAAATCACTAAAAACGAACAAAAAAGAATCCCCAAGACAAGAAACAAGTAATTTCCTTTGTCCTAAGACTCGCAAAATTATTAGAATTTTGACAAAACATCAGTAAAATTATTTTCTAATTTCATTGGTCACCATTTGATTACCCACTCTAATTTATGTGCTCCTTCACCTGCACTCTAGCCTGTATTAAAAGAAATCGGAGAGAGGCGGCATCCCCTTCCCGATTTTTTCTTTCGGGAAGGGCGGCCACAACACGGGCTATTCGCACTCGGGCTTTGTGCGCTCCGAACTTGGCTTTCGCAACTTTTGTGCCAGGCTGTGCGTCCCAAGAATTTATTTCATAAGTCAGAGCTTTTTAGGCCAACCTGAATGTTGTTTACACTAACGATAGCGCTATTTATTTCTGCGCGCGCAAGTTCTGTTTTCCTGAGTTGCTTGGCTCCTGTCCACCATTTCCATGTTGAAAATCACGAGAAGTATTAAACAGTTGACACTGAAAAGCCAGGCTATTTGGTTTGCCATTCTTTTATATTAGCTAATATCCATCGCATTGTGATGTTCTCGGTCTCACAGTTAAGCGGTAGAGCACAGGAATAAAGATACTATCTTGCCTAGAGTACACACTCTGAAATTACTGGGAACACACATGATGAGCGACACCGCATATGGAGATGTTATGATTCCTTAAACAACACAAGGATTGTAGCTAACTGTACTCTCACCCGGAACCCGGAAGGCAAGAGAAGTCGCAGTTGACTAAAGATTGCGTGGAGGAGAACAGTTGAAGCTGAGCGTAAAAACTGGGCCTGGACTGACTAAAATGACGTGGAAGATCGTGGAACAGCGAGAGGAAGACCGTGAAGGATGGAAGATGTTAAGGGACAGCCTTATGNAAAGCATGGGAAAAGGCAACGGTGACCAAAAGATATGATGAACGATCTTATGAAGTCGAGTCTGAGAAAGGAACCTACCGACGAAACAGGGTGGACCTGAGAGAACAGCCTGTCCCACAGAGGCCTCTAGAACAAACTCCCAGCCAGGAACCGGCATTGACCCAGAACAAGGACCAGACAAAGACCCTAGCTGAGACTAACAACCTACCTGATACACTTGAGACCATCCAGCAACCCCAGGAACAGCAGCCCACACCTACTGCTGTCTCACAACGTCCCAAGAGAACCCTCAAAGAGCCTGCATACCTTAAGGACTATTCACGCTAGGAAACTAGGGACTTCGAACACTTGTTTTTCAGTTACTAGAAACCGGACTTGACATTTGAAAAGCTAGACGCATTTCATGGAGGAAGGAGTACAACCAAACTTTGGAATGATCTTTCCATTACTGGCCGTAGAAATAAACAGTTGACAGTTGTCCGCAGTGCGGACAGCTCAGACAGCCAAAACAATAGCTAAAGACGACACGAAGGTCCAGAATTTAAAATCACTCGATGCAAGATTAAGAGCCGTATACCAAAACAATTGGTATGCAATAAGCGAGGCTAGAAAAGTTGAAAACATATCAGCCAGTAAACTAGACCTTTTGTCCAAATTTATCAGTGCCAGCGAGCACGACCTTCTTTTGTCCAAATTTGTCATTTTTACAACAAAAATGGCAGCGAGTAAAAAGGAAGCTGCATCCGGGAAAATTAAAGTTCAGAATTCAATTGACTGATTTCGGTTTGTACTAATGATTTCGACACACAGAACTCCCGCTCGGTTACTGCAAACTTGTTATTTTCCTCAAGCATGGTCCGGAATCCCAAATCCTCGAATCTCTCCGCCCGTCCAGTTTTTCCTGTCTAGGCCGGATTTGCTGGTCCGGAACCATTTTGTAGCAGGACGAGCAGAGTGATGGAAGTTTCGTTTAGTGAAATAGAAATTGTTACTCAACAAACGTTATAAACTTGAAAGGATAACACAAAAGTGGATTTTAAGGGCGGTTTTGAATTCTCGAAAAGGCGAACATCCGTTCCTGTCAGTCGACAAAATTAATTTGCAGTTAATTTAGATTTGTTATTTGCTTTTCGTAATTTGTTCACCTCATTACAGTAATAACGGCAAGTCGGGAACTTCAGTTTCATTTATCAGTTGAAATGCCTTACATCTCAGCGATGTTTTGCCAAAACCACGCAACAATTACCTTCATTCAAGAAAGTAATGCTTTACTAGAAACAATCAAATTAATTCTTGGAAGATTGTACCCTATGGGGACGACCTATACTGCCAAACTTATACATTTTACTCAGTAACTTTCACTTCCGAAAAGGTTTCATGAAAATAAATTATTCTCGGAATCAACACAAAGATTAACTGTATGAATAAAGCTTTGCAAGGATAGAACATTTGTTTGTTAGGGGCTTTCGAAGGCTTAAAAGACCTTTTACCGGGATTATTCATTTTAACCTCGCAGACCAAGATTGAAAATAATTTTTCGAACTATTTTGTACTTTTTGAAGACTTTGTTTTAGTGCTTCAAAAATTTATATTGCGAGGAAGGAATCAATGCGAAACAATCTTTCAAGGTTTATGTAGCAAACAAATTAAAAAGAAGGTAAATACGTTATTTGCCAGCCTAGGTCGGTCCGTATAGTGGCCTCAGTGACCTCAAGCAAAATTTTTCTTTTTACGGAGCTCTCGGTCGCAAAGAGCATACATGTATGTTTGTCATTTCACTCTTACCTTCCTGTAAAGGAATTTCTTTAATTCGGAGGTGTTTTTGTACATCGCAAAGCAAACACACATGCATAAAAAATTGTTCTTACCTGGTGGCATTTAAAGCACACCCACTCGTGAGATGGTTTTGCAGTGGCCAAGTCATTATCAGCAGCCGCCAGGTCAGCTTCTGCCTGTCTGAACCAACGCCTTGCCTCGCCTGGTTGAGGATTCTTCTTGCAGAAACTTGGAGGAATACATGGCCATGAATCACCGCTCCTCGATGTAGATTCACGGGTCCCATATTTTCTGAGAAACCTTTCTTTGTATTCACGGCGCTGTGCATTATGCCGCCGAGCACGTTCTCTCCAGTGATTGAAGAAGGTTTCGTAGGAGCTTTGCTGATTCTCGCGCTCTCCCTTTCGTCTTTCATCTTTTTCCAACCTTGCAATTTCGATCTGTATGTGCTGGAAAGCTTCCGTGCAGAAAGTTTCGTCTCCAAGATTCTTATCCGGATGCCACCGTAGAAAAAGTCGCTTGACCACTTTTCTTCTTCTTCTTTCCTCAGGTAGCCGCCATGCTTGTTCTAGCACGTCAGAGATCTCAGCAAAAATCTTCTCTTTGTCCCGTGCTTGAGTGGCAGTTTCTTGCTCGTCTGACAGGCCAAGGGAAGAAGATTGAAGACGATGAAATTTGTACAGGTCGGCAAATTCGACAACCCGCGGTTCTTTGTCATATCCAACGTTAATCTTGAAAGACTTTCCAAACAGAGTTGAAGTTTCCTCAGCTTTCACTTCTTCAATTACCACGGCGTAGATGAATGTAGCATCTCCTCCCTTCTGCTGCATGCTTGGGTCGTCCATTTCGTACCCAACATATTCACCAGGCGCGAGATTTTCAAAGGCTTCGTTCAAGAGATGATGGTCTTCGATCGGGATGAAACTTCCTGGCTGTGGTAAGAGATCACTGCTCGATGCGTTGTAAGAGTCGTCTTGCCTAACTTTCATCTCATCCAGGATGGACCAAATCTTTTTGGGGTCACTGCGTAACATCTCAGGAATGAACATCACTGCCTCCTGGAGCAATCCTTCACATGCTTCTGCAATAACTCGAGTTAAGGCCAAATATATCTTACTAAGGCTATCCTCTGCCTCAGCATTAACATAGACCTTCCAGATATTTTTGTCATCTTCAAAAACTTTGTCTACAAAGTATGGCACCTCAGCTTTGCTACCAGGAACATCAGCTCCTTTGAACATCAGTTTGGTCCAAATTTTGGTCATTCCCATGAACTCGATATTTCGAAGTCTGCCTTTTATAGAAGCGATCAAACTTTCCTCCAACTTTCCTTTTTCATGCTGTGCGTGCCGAATGAGCCTCAAAACTCCGTGGAAGAATTGGTCCGAGCAGAGTTGTTTCTTCAGGGTGTCAGCAACGCTAAGCTGAACAGCCACTTCGTCGCTGATGTCAACAAATGTTTCCTCTACTGCATCGGACAGCATCTGCGGTCGAACAGCTGTTGAAAGATTCATTACGAAGTCTTTGTAGCTCAAGGAAGAATTGCACTGGAGTCCTGTCTTCTTTAAGTCCACCACAAATAGTTGTTTGAAGTTTTGGAGACGACTCTGTAAATAAGGCGCGTCGTCAAACATTAACTCGGTCGACTTGTGCAAGACAACAGGAAGAGGTCCTTGGCAGCTACTTTCTGTATTTAGTGCTGGTAAGAACAACTTTGAAAGACTTTCCCCTTCAGTTGGATTCTCTTGCAGCCTTTCGAAGAATCCTCTGACAGCTCCTAACGCACTTTGGATCTCATTTGGATGGAGTTTCTCTCCCTGACATTGGTCATGTAACATTTCCAAGACCATGGCGTAGTGAGACGTTGTAACAGAACTGGAGCAACCTAAAAGCAGAAATAGTTTGTGAAACTCTCCAAGGTCATGAGGCACTCTGTAAAGGAATGGCTTTATTTCAAGGCTCTCGTACAATTCGAGGACTACTTGCTTAGGTTCGGCAAACCGTGTTCCCTGTTCGACCAAAATGCAGGAGCTGCTATGCAGGACTTCTTTTACATCATGGTTTGTAGTGGCTTTTTCCTGCAAAAATTTGTAGATGCTTTTCATGACTGACTTTCGCTTTAAACACTGCTCCTCTGAGACTTCGCTTCCATTTTCTGTCACAAGGCGATTAGAGATTTTTTGACAATGTAAAGTAACCAAGTCTAAATCAGGTTCTGATACGACTTTGAGACAGTCAAGAATGTTGTTACAAAAAGCGTCTCTAGTCAAGTTCCAAGGAGCCTTCACTTCAAGTACAAATCGTGGATCCGCCCATCGTGGAAGTAGGTGTGCCGTTGTCCACACAATTTCAGCATGATCAGAAACGACAGAGTCTTCGAATGCAATATAAGGAGACTGCCCACCTTGTCTTTCACCATACTGCCCATGTAGAGCTAGAAGGTCACTAGAGACTGGCTCTGACACTACAAAACGAATACCACAAACAGATTGCAGAAGCCCATGACCCAATACTTCAGATCGACTTAACAGTTGCGACACTAGGAGTTTTGACTTTTCGTCTGTCTTCACACTTCGCTGCGTTGCTGCTTCGAGAGCAACCTCCTCAGCAAATTTCTTGAAATGAACGGGAGAAATTTCATAGACCATGCCAATTTTTCTCAAAAACGACCACCACTCTTTTGACTTGAAAGGTTCAGGTGGAAACATCTCTCCTGGGAGCATGACCTTGAAAATATCATTGCACGGATCATAGAAGTATGATGCTCTCTTTAAGTGTCCCTCCTTTGTGGTGATGATCTCGGAGTTTCTCAACCTGCACAACACTCTGTGCTCATCTTCCTTGTTTGCTGACGTACTTGGAAGTAAGGTATCTCTCACGTATTTGAGGTGAGCAAGTCTTGCGTCTTTGCTGAAGGCTTTGAAAAGTACCAAGATGAACTTACAATACACGTCAACTGGGGAGATACTGTCAAAAGCCAAAAATTGGTAGAGGGCAGAAAGAGATGGAACGGCTTTAAGAAACACCACATGTACTTCCCTTTGTAGAACATCCATCTCATTCGTTGGTACTCCATCTGGGAGAACGCACACTCGTTCATGTTGATGAAGACTAATGAGGTCACCGTGTGTTGATGGATAAAAAGGAAGCTTTTTCAACGTTGAATTGCTACCGGATGAGTTTTGTAAACAGACTACATAGTCGTTGAAATACTTAAGGATGATCACACAGTCGTGAGGCTTCAGTCTTCCAAGTAGCGAATGTGGGCTTGAGTTCATCTTGTGTTCGAGCGATGTAAGCAATGATGCTGGGGTTTTCAGGGACGCCACAACTTGCCGTGCTAAAAGGCACGAATCCATCCACGCTGAGAATGGCATGCCTTTGATACGCAAAACATCAGAATTCAGCTCAGGCAGACCAAGCCTTCTTAAAGCCTTTACCAGAGGCCCATGAAACTGAACAGTATCTGTGAAATCTAGGACAGATTCCGCCAATTTCACCGGCACCAGAATATTTTTTGTAACTTCCTCGCAAGCATTTGCTTCATCAGATCTTGGTAGCAGGACGGTCTGAGTTGCAGGGAGAATGCTCCAGTTGGACATTGGTTTGAGCATGGAATGAATGGGGGTCAAGGTGCTTTCAGGTCTTCTACTGGCATTATTCACAACACTTTTCGAGATGGTAGCCAAAAAGCTCCAAACTCTGGATATCCAAAGGCCGTTTGGCAATTCAGTATTGCTTGGGCACCACTCTCCAAGATAACCTGGGGGTAGTGTACCACTTAAGTGAAGAGCCAAAGCGTTGACGTCAAAATGCATGAACACAGACGCCTGACGGTACCCTGCATCATTAAATATATTCGCCATAACTTGCTCATGGACGAACATTTCCTTGGATTTTGGCAAGATGTCGTGATAGGGAGAAAGAAACTTTCGATCACTTTCACTGAACGCACGGAGCCATTTGTCTTGTGTTACAAGCAAGGGGAGGCCTGACAGATTATTTATGAAGTATGGATGATCCCTGCAGTAACGCAGTAGCAGTACAACACCACTGCTGTCTTTAAATGGCGTTTTTCCAACTTCAATGGGGAAAGATCCAATCTTGCAAAGGGGATCTTGGCTGTTGAAAGTCTTGTAGAACTCCATGACAACGCCAGGTGTTATGCAACAGCATCTCACTTCTGAATTGTCGAAAGCTCTAAAAACGGCCATGGAAAATTGCACAAGGTTGAAACCTGTTTGCAGCAAAATTCTCTCGAAAGACCGCCGATTCTCCACACTGTCGTCTTTCCTTCCAACACCAAAACAGCCACTAGTTTCAAGATTGTTGAAGAATGCCTGGTTCTTCCCGGTGCCCGTTGGAGGAAGCCACGTCAGTTCAACATCCATAGAACCATACGCACATACATCTCGCACCACTGGAAGAAATCTCAGTTTCTTACTATTCATTCCGCGATACACAGATCTTGCTAGTATCTCCCAGTAAGGATCACTTAAGTTAGTGCAGCACGGAAAAAGCTTCTCATATATCTCAAGCTTTGTAATCAAACAGGCTCTGCTGCAACTCAGATTCGCTCTGAGCAAGTTTGGCAGTTGCAGAAAAGTCCTTACCTCGTCCAGCAGTGTTAGATAGCACGCCGCTATCACATCTTTCAGCAACGTGCTGTTCCAGTCACTCCGATAACCACCACTTTCATCTTTCCATAGACTTCTCCTGGCCTCATGGTCTAATGCAAAGTGACCATTGATGTGGACTGGAAGACCTGTTTCTAAAGGAAGCGGAAGGAAGCAGTAAGCTTTTCTTCTTCTTTTCTCTAGTTCCTTGTCCACTGACTTGTTTTCCAAGAGGCAGGCAACACCACCTCGAGGAAGCATCCCCAGGTCGCTTCTTCGGTAAGCATGGAGTATGCTCGGTTGCACTTTGTTCTCAAAGCCAATTTGCTGGACAATAAGCCACTTTTCCTCATTGCCAAGGCTATCCCTTAAGTTAAGAACATAGCTACATTTTTCCACTTTGATGTTGTTGGGACAAAAGTCATCTCTCTGTTCATCTGACTTCCCAATTTGTTTAATGCGGGTGGCAAATTGCTGCCTTTTGCTTGCATCTTCTTCGGTCATCACTGCTTCAACTGAGTAAGAATTCACCACTTGACCACTTTCGTCGATGTCACACAAAGTGATCCTCTTCACGTTGTTTACAAAAATTAGAACTTCAAATAGCTCTTTCTTCAGCGCATCCATCATTTCATTTAATTCTTCCAGTGTAACTGGATTGGAGGATATCTTAGAATCACATCCCATTTCTTGAGTTCTAAGAGGAAATCGAAACATGGTCGAATTTTCTAAAGGAAAACTTTCTTCCAGGTAACAATTAAAAACATCCGGAAACAGGTTCTTCAACTTTGTGACTTCTGTATACATTCTGCCTGGTTCTAGAGGATTGGCATCAGGAACGTATTGGCAATGTGGATCAAATACACACAAAACGTCTCCTATTTCTTCGCCATTGGACATAAACGAAGGGACGTCAGTCAAGTGGTAGACAGCATTGAAACCGACGCCATACTGGCCTGTTTTGTTTGGATCATTTCCTTTGCTGCCTTCCCCAAGGCTTTGTATACCTGCAATATCGGCCTTAGTGAATGGCTTGTTGTTGTATACGCATAACGCAGGACCTTGCAATGGAACCCAGCTGTTTTCGAAGACTCGCTCCGTTGGATGGCTACGGGGATCCTTTATGAAAAAAATCTCAGTTGCCTGTGCATCATCAGCATTCTGGAGTAGTTCTTTCAAGAGCTCCTTTCCACATGGATAGCCAGTTAGAATTCGTTTCAAGCGATTCGTTAGTTTCTCTTTTTGTCCAAAAGCAAGTCCCCATGAGTGATGACGTAACGCCTCTTCTCTCTGTGTTTTGACACCCAATTCCACACTTGTGATGCAAGGAATGTCTGGAGTGACAAACTGAACATCAAGACTACCTGGAATCCAAGGACAATCTTGTATGCAAAGCTCACTAACGGGTAGCATTACGCCTTTAGAGTTGGGAAGATGAATTAATGTCCTCTTGTCGTCTGTTGTGAACTCAACTCCAGGGGCTTTCAACGCTTTCGCTAATTCGTTGGCCAGGTTGACAGCAACAAGACGTGTCGGCCTGTCCAGCTGTCGTTCTCCAAATCCATGCTCTTCGTGTATTTGTCGCAAACCAGATATGAAATCTTGTGCCTCGAACATATCTCTTACGGAGGCTACTTTCATTAGTCTCGAAAATAGCCTAGCCAACTCTTCAGGAACTTTGAACAAATAGGGAGAACATTCGACGGGTAGTGCGAATGCCACTTGATTTGCACTCACAAACTCATTTCTCACAAGAATGAATTTTTTCCCTCGAAGGAAATCGGCTATTTGGATTTCATCATCATCATCTTGAAGAGCGTCCTGGAGGAAACAGTAAGATGCATTGCACACCTTTCTAACTTCTTCCATTCCTGAGATGTCAACTCTTGTAGATATGGCTTCATTTAGTTGGGACATCGCATGCACTATTGTAGCCTGGCGGTCGTGGAACTTCAACAACATCTTAACCTTTGGTGGGATAAGCAAGTCTACAATTGGCTCAGTGCAACACACTAGATACATTTTATCGCGTAAAAATCCCTTGTTTGGCGATACAAAGGTGAGGTCGGTCCCATCTTCAAACTGATTACCTTTCCATGCCAGAGGAAACGTCTGCGGTTTCTTGAGAACTGGGAGAAATTCAGCTTCCAAGAGACGTCTTTGAACATCCGAGGGAAGCTGTATATTGCCATCCTTCAGCTTTCCTTCTAGAAAAGCTATCAAATTCTTTGCCCTCTTTAATGCTGCATCGCTACAACTTCTGTTCAAGTCGTGAATACTTTCCACCCTTTCTGCAACCTCGCCCCATGAGAGATCATCTGTCGCCATTCCAAGTTGCTCCAGTCTAAAGAGCTGTAAAGGATCCCGAAATGTTTCATCGGTGCCAAATGGAAATCGTCCATCGTGATCGCAAAATAGCAACGCAGCACGTCTGCTTGGATGGACAAGTTGACTTGGGCGTTTGAGTTTCTGACCATGGGGTGAAGCTGGGATGCAGCCGTTGTTCATAATCATATCCTGAAAGTCTCCACTGTTATCTTTGAGAGCATACAAGACCAAGTTGTCTCTCAAGTGAGCGGGTACGGAAGCAATATTTGGAAAGAACAGTTCACGGAAGAACCTCTCCTTGTTATAGCTTTTGGGCTGAATATCTTTTCCAAGGCCATAGTCTACAAACGACTGATACACATCACCAGGAAGATCAATTACAGTTTGATTGCCTTTGGCTAACAACTGAAGAACTTCAAACGAAATGCCTCCCACCTGGGTATCCTGATGAAACTGTGGATCAAGAAAAACAACTTCATCAATGGATGTCCATCTGCTTCCATCTGAAAAAAGGGAATAACCCCGATTAGCAAGGCATTCATACAATGAACGCGCAAGGGGCTCACAGTTTGAGTGCACTTCACAAGACTTCGGCCACAACGAAAAGAACTGGTATTTTCTAGAGGTTTCCGTAACTGACTTCAAGTCTTCAAGAAGGTCTAAGTATGCTGCACAAACAGAATCTTGCAATAGGACATTGTTCCACTCGACACCAATACTAGCTTTGTCATCCTCTGTTGTTTCCTTCAAATTTCGTCTGTTGGACGCTACAGCAAAGGCTCCATTGACATGCACGGGTAGACCACTGTGAATCGGAAGTGGAAGGTAGCAAAATACATTTCCCGTGCGATCCAATCCGCTAGACTCATCGCAAACAGGTACAGGCAAGAGAGAATCATCAAGCGACAATTTAACAGCCACTCCTGCTGACGGAAGAAGACTCTTGTCTTTCTCTGAAAACTGCATTGCTTGACCCTTGCCCATTGAAGAAACGACGAGCCACGTCCCAACATCACTAGGTACATCAAGTTTGTTTCCAAAGAAGCAACGCCCATATTCCGTAATGGTGCTACTAATGTTGATTGTAAGTGCCGACCTTAGCAGAACAGTATTCGAGTTGACGGCGCCTCCTTTAGGCTTCGCAACGTCAGATGATGCTCGAAGAAAGTTGCACTGTTCCAAAAGGAACTTTTCCCGATCACTTAGCCTGTTAGCAGCGGGTGGGAGGATGACCGGGCAAGACAATTCCCTTCTAATACCGGCTTCAGATAACGATTTAGCAACTTCATAAATCTTCTTAGTTATTGGATGTTCGGTAGAATCACTGGCCAAATGAAAGATGCTGACACGACGGATATTTTGTGTAAAGAGAAGCAGGGATCCGGCTCCACGAATAAAACGTTGCAAGAGTTCTTTCATTTGCTTGGAGTCGTAGTCGCTTTGCCTGATTTCACTTTTCATCGCTTGCTCTTTAGTTCGTAAAGGGAAACGAAATAGCGTCCCTTTGTATGAGTTGTCTTCTTTGTCTAGATGAAGATCACAACCAAAAATCCCATTGAACGGTTTGAATTGATTTCGAAATTTGCGCAGTTTATTTGCGTTTTTGTTCATGTTGATCTTCATGCCTGGTTTGGCCTTGTTCCTGATTACTTTTCCGAGATAAAAGGTGTTGGGATCAAAAATGACAAAATGATTTCTGCTCACGAACATGGGTACATCTGTCAGGTTGTAAACTGCATTAAAACCAAGTCCAAATTTTCCAATTTTCTCGGTGTCATGCTCTTTAGTCGCACCGCTCAATTTTGTTATGTTCTCAAAATCCTCGTCTCGGAACTCGGCATCGTTGTGAACCCACAGGGCAGGACCCTGGCAGTGTCTCATCCCTTCATCAATCAGACAGGTCATGGCATCTTCGTTTGCTCTTTCATCGTACAAAAAGTTAACTTCCGTCGCACCAGCATCGTCTGCGTTTTGAATAAGCTCCTTTGGTACCGCAAATCCGTCTGTATAATCCTCCAAAAGTCTACTGAGTCTTCGAGTGAGCCTCTCCTCCTGTCCAAACTCTTCGCCTACTGCTAACTCATCAGGATCTAGCATGCAGTTTCTGAGGTTTCGAACATTCAACTGTTCGGCTGTGCTGTTAGGAACGTTTGGATGTACCATCAAGTACTGCATCTCTTCGTCATCATTTTCGGTACCAAGCCCCCCGTCTTCACAATACATACAACTTTCAACCGGTGCAAGCTTAACATACGCGTCCCCTTCGACAAAGGTTGGAAGAAGAATCTTCTTTTGAAGCTCAGGCAGTTTACCAACGTTTGGCTTCACTTCATTCAGGATGTCAATGGATAGCTTCAGGTCCTTTTTGACATCTGCATCTTCAAATTGGGTACGGTCGTATTTCTCCTTAATCATGGCGAGGACATCAAGCAAAAGGCTGTTGTCGCATCGTTTCTGCATGCCAAACGTAAAGAACAACTTGGAGTACTGAATCATCTCTGGGGGAAGGGTACAAATGTAAGGCGACAGGTCTATGGAAGGTTTCTCCGACAGCACAACTTTAGGAGAGGAAAATCCATCACCATTCCAAATCCAATTAGGAATCTCAACTCTCTGCAAGGCATTCATGACATCTACGTGATCCGCAGAACTTAGAAAAGAGTAGATGTCTTTCACCATCAAAACGTAATGTGGCTTTTCATCTGTTTTGTAGTCCACAATCACAGTTCTCAAATGTTCAACAACGTGCAACACACAAGGCTTCTTGTCCCAGCTAAAATATTGGGCTAGTTCACTTGAACTTACGTTAATGAGCGGCTGTACGGATCCAATTAGGCTAGCGCTCTGTTTACTCTTAACTTCTGTGGGCTTGTAAAAGTATCTTTCTTTTTCCGTTTCACCAAAAAAATGAAGGCTCTCAGGAAAACCATGAGGCTTTTGTTTCAAAACGGGTACCCAAGCCATATCGCAAAGCAGCAATCTTAAAGATCTTCCTGAAATGGCATCTTCAAGTTTCGTCGGATTCCGGGTTAAATACTCCATGAGCGCCACAGACTTTTGCCTTGTTGTCGAATTACTGGAATTTTCAGTTATGCTTTTGGCAATCTGGTACAGGTCTTGGGTGGCGATCATGTCCCCGTTTTTCATGCCAAGTCTCTCAAGAACTGCGAGAACTGCAGGGTCAGTATACAGCGTTCCAACAGGAAAGACATCTTCACCAGCAAAGAGTGTCTTTAACAGGTCTTCTCTGGGATCAAACAAGTCTAGTGCCCTCATCCGTCCACTTTCGGTTGACACAAACGGTACCTCTTTCATCATCTCTACAAATCTGACATTGACGTCAGGGCTGGCGTAAACATGATAACGCTTCAACACAAAGGCCATGAGTCTGTCAATCTCTTCTTCGGAATAGTGCCCATGAATGACATCTGGAAATACTTCTTCGCACAAATATTCTGTTGTCGTTAGTATTCTTATGTCCAGCATACGTACCAATCGTTTGGAGCTGGCCTCTTTGATGTCAATGAACTCTCGTCGGGGAGTCACTGGAAGCCTCTCCTCCGGTGCTGCACACAGTCCCTCTTTCTTTGAGATAAACTTCTCTGACAGAGTTTCGAAAAGTGGAAGGTAAAGAAGAAGTTTCTTCTCTTCCCGACGAAAGCATGGTGCTTTAGAAACAAAATTCCTCAAAGCTCGTTTACCAACAACATCCACGTTTTCTAGCAGGACAGAGAGCATTCCGACACTCATTATGGGACTCGAGGTGCAAGCCGCCATAGAACGTAGGACACCTTGGACAGATGGTGGATGGACAAATGTAGGCAACAGGACAGGATGGAGGCTTAGTGGACACTCTTGCATGATCATTAAACCGAGCGCCTTCAAAACGTTAACCACTGGTTTCTCAAGACGACTATCCAGTTTTGCAACAACAACTTTCGATGGCTTCTTTAGCCTTGTTAAAATGACTGGGACTTGAGAAAGATCAAGCGGAATCAGGGGAAGATTTTCAAACCTAAAGAGATCATCTGCTGTTGGAAAAGTTTCTCTCAGGTAACGCCACACGCCCTTAATCCAATCTTTTGACAGGTGGTTATAGTTTCCATCCCCAGGGAACCAATGAGCCACATCGCCTTTTAGCCATTCCGGAGGTAATGCCTTCCCTAGAAGAGCAGGGACATCATTTTTCGAAAGAAACTTTATCTGGGTGCATCCTGTTGAGAAAGAGAATATCTTGACATGAATTTGAGACCCCTACAAAAGGTCTTTTTTGTCGTCTCTAAATAAAAATGCCGTATTTCTGTGCGTTACTTTTCTCACGATTAACACTAAAAAAAATATTGGATAGTACCGCAGCCTGGATATGCCTCGGTTTTCCTATAGACGATTGCAAATAGTAAAGAGAAAAGTTACCATCCACAAAAGCCAAAAAAAGTTAATTTAAGTATCATTTTATTACAGAAAACTCGCTGATACTACTGAGTAATCCGTGACACAAAATGCGGATTTGAAACAAACTGTCCCCTATTCAGGACATGATTTTATATCTGATAGCTAAAACCTTCAATACTTTCAGGCTCTGAGTTTCTCGAATTTAATTTTCTAAAAATGAAACACGCTAAAATGTATGTAAGGCACAAGAGAATTTTATACCTTTCTCTGCAATGGTCTTAAGATTTTTCAAAATGCTTTCATCAACATCTTGGTTTAGGAATCTCTCTCGCAAACCAGGTACTAGCTCTCGCGGATGTTCAGGGGAGGTGATATAAACCGCCTCCGCCGATTTTGTAAAAGTTGTAAAGGTCCCGTCGGATACAGGCAGAAGGACTAAGCCGAGCAGCTCTGGAAAGTCATCATCTTCAAGCACAAATCGGAGCAAGGACAACTTCTCCATGTGACTTAGACTTTTATAACAGGAAGGAGTTTCCTTGAGCACTTGTCGCACCAACGAGGGAGTGATCTCTGTGATCTCGGTTATCTCGGTTATGGCGTTTAACACGTGGTCAGGCAAAGGGGCGACAGGTTTGTTTGCCTCGCGCAAGACTCGAGCAATCAGCTCGTTAGTCTCGTTCTCATCAATTCGGACAGAGATGGCATCCTGAACGTGCAGCCATTTGCCTTTATGGGCTGGAGTGTACATTATTTTCTCAGTACACAGCAGTTGAAACAAGGGACTCAAGAGTCTGCTCCAGGTGTGGTCAGTGCTACTCATCTTTGGCCATGCCCTGTGTAACAAAGAAAGCCATTGCAGCAATTGGTTTGTATTCCTGCAACAACCAGTATTAAACAACGTCCAAGAAAATAAAGAACGCATGCTGTAATATGGCGGTGCCAGGAATATTGCTTCTCCCGGTTGTGAGCATGCTAGTCCATTGCGAGTTTAAATTCGTAGCAACTAGTAAGTATTCTTTACACCCCTGGGTGGAAAGACTTACTTGTCCAGTCTATCAGTTCAAACTATCCACTTGGGATCACAAGTCCTAAATACAGTAAAGTGCTAGGCTTAAAACAATATCTGAACCTAACAGTGCTGCTTCGGTAATCTCGAGTCAATTTGAGATTCGCTTTCACACTGACGATAATAACTGCAACAAATGTTTCACATTCAGTCATGATGGGACGAAATGATTACGCAGACTAAAAATTCTTACCTGTACACTGTTTCTGGTTGCACATGAAAGGTTCTGTCATTGATGGCAGCCATTATCATCGAAGCATACGCCTTTGGTACAGCTTCTTCCAACAGACAAATGTTCCATATCAAGGATTTGTCATTCAGCTTTCCTTGATCCTCTTGATCTGCGTTAGGTGTTTTTATATGACGTCTGTTCTGACTCAATGAAAAAAATCCATTTACATGCACTGGCAGACCAGTTATGCTCTTCTTTTGTACTGGCAAAGGAAGAACACAAAACACGTGGCCTTGAATGTCAGGTGTTGGTAGGCCGATGCCTGAAGGCATTGCCATAGCAACACCAACTGATGGTAAATAACTGAGTTCTTCGTCTGTCAAAAGCCTTTCGAACTGGGACGAGACCTCGCCACCACAGCAGTAACTTGTAAGAAGAAACGAATGTCGTTCAGCGCTGCCCCCCATCAAGTCCTCGGAAAAATTTGCTGTCTCAATTGTCATTGGATAAGTAACTGAGACAGGCACTGGCATATGTTGGCCAGGTTTGACTGCGTTGTAGAACTCTCTTCTTTTTTCACGAACAAACTGAAGGCTGTCATCACTGATTTTGACTTCAAATATTTTTCTTGGCTCAGGCTCTGATTCCTCTCGGACGTAAAGCTCAATGGATTCCAAATGTCGCAGAAACAAAAGCAACAAGTGAGCATCAGTGATAATACTCTCAAACAAAATTTCCACCTTGTGATCAGAGTACAGTGTCTGGGACAGTTCGGAAGGGATGGTACGCAATGGAAAACGGAACAGCGTTCCATTGTACCTTCCCTCAGAAAAGACTTCCTCTGTAGAGTCAAATATCCCTTTGTAAGGAAGAAACTGATCAGGTATGTTGTTCATAATTTCACGATCTCTGTTTAATCGCCAGCGGTATCCTGTTCTTCGGTCAAGTCGTCCCTCACTAAAGCACTGTTCGAGTGGGTCAATGAAACCGATCTTTGTGCCACTCAGAATGCTTGGTAAATCTAAAATAAAAACGATAATCATTGCTAACTGATGAAAACCCAATCCTGATGCCCAGGTTTCGACTCGTCATGGAATTAATGTTAGTCTCCGAGTCACCTTCGGTAATTTTCGGAAACCAGCTATGCTCGCAAAACCAAGGAATACATTGGAATGCCATATTACCTAGGCTAGGTTCAACTGTAGTTCTCTACCTCCTTCCCGAGGTGTGCAGAATTTTTGCACTCGCGTACACTTTGATTTGCTCTGCTTGTTTCTGAGAATAGTTCTCTGGTTCCCTTTGTTGTGACGAATGTTGCATAGCAATTGTCGTTGACAATAGGGTAATAAGTTCTAAGTAATTTGAAACCAACTACGCATGTCCCATTCTAGGTATGCACAAGAAAATTAATTAATGATAAAGAGTGCCATAATGCCAGCAATGAAGCAGGCCATGTAAATTATAGTAAGTAAATGTAAGTTAAGTCACACTCTTACTAAAGATAATGCTTTGAAATTACCAGAGTAAATTAAATTTCTGATTTTAGCTCGAACAACCCTCTCACACAAGATATATTACATGGAACTCATTAGGCATCCATGAAAACACCCAAGTATTTTAACTTGTTATTCTCTCGAAGGAGCAAAAAGTACAGTGGCATGTTTACCTGTCACATGAAAAACAGACTTGAAACCCAGGCCAAACCGGCCCACCTTCATTGGGTCTTTAGTTTTCAGACTGTTGCACAGCATTCGTATGCCTGTCCAGTCGTCTGTAGTAAACTGTGCGTTGTTGTATGCATAAATAGCTGGCCCCTGTTGAAGATCAAGCGCCATTTACAAATATGTTTTACAAAATTCATCAATCATTAAAAATGGTGGGCACAATGTTAAAGATATAGACTACTGCTCCAGTGGAACACGTGGTAAACGTGAAGTCTGCACACGAGCCAAGTGGTCCATCAGGCTGGAGCTTATCCCGGTTTCTGTAGCATGAAGTGACTGGGAGCATTCCTACTCCCCCCCCCCCAGCATTAAATTTGGCGGTACCCATTTGTACACCTGGGTGGAGAGAAGCACTGTGAGAGTTTAGTGTCTTGCCCAAGAACACAACACAATGTCATTGGCCAGGGTTCGAATCCAGACCGCTCGATCCGGAGACGAGCACACTAACCATGAGGCCACCGCACCTCCATGAGAGCTGTAGTAATTCTGTAAAACATACCGTGGATTCCTGGTCCTTCAGAGAAACATTTTACAAACTCCATGAATGGTAATAATCTATCATCATGTTTACATTTTACAAACTGTTATAAACCAGCGCAACTTCATCCAGAATCCACAGCACCAAGAAACGTTTGAAAAGTACAATGTCAAGTTGTATAGCTTGTTTTCAAAATGATAACTAACAAATTCACCATTACCCAGCGAGTTTTAAAACTCACAGGCACTAGACAATATTACGCCTTAATGAATTTTAGAAAGGTTCTATTCAGATATATCCACCTCCCGTGTAATTAGATCTAATAAATTTACTACATGAATTTGAACAACTGCCACTAATACAAGATCAGAATTTCTCAAACTCATTGATAATTCATCAAGTTTAAGCAAAGGAAATCATGACCGTGATGGTGTTTGGATATCTGATCTTAATTAGCACAGATTTTTACGATTATATTTCTCCGTTTTCTCCTTAGTTTTAGTTTCGATTGAGAAGATATACCAAACACTCACGACAGCGTTTGACCACATTTCGAAACACCTCGCAGTTCGTCAAAAATACCCCACTGCGCGTCGCATCTTCAACTCTCTTCTCAGTGTTTGGAAATGTGGTCATACACATACTTTCGTGTTTGACACATCACACAAAGTACCTGAAACCGAGCAAGTTCTCTGCTGTGTAGTTTCTCTGTTCTGTAGCTGTGTTTGTCATGAAGGAATTTAACTTGGCTTGCACGTGCATCTTCAGCATTTTGAATAAGCTCCTGAAAAACATTAGCATCCCTATTGACCAACTTGTGTGCTGCACGAATCTTGTTCCCAGAGGCCACAATCCCTTTTTACGGTACCAAAAATGGGACCTCCAGCCCCCCCGTGGGGTACTCCCTTATATCAGCTATATAGGTATGTACGGTCCCAAAGGGTATGGTATGGTTTTTCAGCCGTTTTGGTCATAAATAGGGTATCGATTTTAGCCTATTTTGGCCATTTTGGTCATAAATGGGGTATGGCTTTTGCACGCTAGCCTCCATTTGGGTATGTTTTTAAGAGGAAGCCACTTTTTCATCACTATCAAAAAGAAAATTAACAAAACGGTAATTTAACATTGGTCTGAACTAGGGAACTTATTATAACGCAGGTCTGAAACAGGGTTTTGATTGAATGGTCAGGTCATAAATAGGGTAGGGAATATCACAGATCTTGGTCATAAACAGGGTAAGGGGTTTGGGAAGCGGGCCACACACTCTTACCCAACTTTTCTGGGAGTACCCCCCCCCCCCCCCCCGGGGAAATATGTTTAAGGTAGANTTTTCTCATTCAAGAAAACTTTTTTCAAAGTTTCCGCACAAAATTTTCGTCATCATTTTACGTAATATCATTGGCTTCGAAAATTTCCTATGGTCTTTCAGCCAATCATAATCCGGAATTACGATGTGTAATTTGCACTGCTGTTACACTTTTTGTACCGGTGTTACATTTTTTGTACTGGTGTTACACTTGAACTGCACTGCTCTCAGCCAATCAGAATCGAGTAATTTTTTCATGTATATTATTAGCTGGATAATAATGGCTCATTTTAACCGAGATTCAGTGAAACAGTCAGAAAGTTAGAAATGTTAGATATTCACTGTGTTAATAGGTGGTGAATAGTACATTTCTAAGCTTGGTTCCTGAGCTATGGCACCTTAGCCATCTTGGCAAGTAACCATGGTGGATAATTGCTGGATGAAATTTCAGTTATTTCAATGCATGATATCACTGCATATGTGGGGAATTCTAAAAAATTACTTCCATCGCACACCATTGGACCAAAAATGTTATTGAGAACTTGTATTCAAGGCATCAAAAAGAGTCATCAATGCCTTATTAGTTTTGTAACTAGTCAGCGGGTGACAAACTGGATCACATCAAATGACCAAAATTTATTTTTCTTTAGGCTGGAGTTTCTCAGTTTTAGATAACGAATGTCAACAATGTTAACAAATATGCCACAAAGGTACCTTATAAATTTCTTTTGTTTATTTTACTGCCACCTAAAATAATGCTCTGACTCGTGCTCTTATTGGTTGATTTATAGTCATGTAGCAATGGCTAAATAACGCAATTGATGCCCGCTGTCCCACTAACCAGAGGTTACTTTGGCTTCTTATTGCCTTATACCTTTACTCTAAACTCACAAAACACTTAATTACTGGTCCCTTGAGAAACAGTTTGCTTTGCTTTCAGTCCACTGTTACCCAGGTCTGTAAATTTTACAGACCAGGGGAGAAGCACTGTAAGAGTTAATTGTCCTTGGTAGATTTGCAGTTGTTTACGTGCACGCACCGGTTTTTCAACAGTTCCAAGTTTTTAAAGTCCAGAACCCGTTTATGTCCTTTTTGTCTTCTCAGGAATATAATTATCCATTTACATCTAAACTTTCTTCCAAAACTTTGGAAGAACGATTAAAACGTCGCATTTCATGGACGACCGACAGCTACTGCATTCTAATGGCTGATAGTATGTACAAGTAGCTCAGCCAATCAGATTGCAGCATTTGCAATAGTATACTAGTGGAATTCTACTAATATCATGTATATCGTTTTCACATGACGTCATCAAATTCCAAGATCCAAAACTAAAGAGCTGCCAAAGGTTTTTATCCTCATCAGGCATAAGGGGATCTAAATTTAAATCTGTTTAGAACCTTCCAGCTCAACAGCCTGCTTAGTTTGGAAGTCACACAGTGAAATCTATTTATTCAGAGAGCAGAATGAGAAGAAATTAATGAATTCAGGCAGCACTGTGTCTAGAATAATAAAATGGCTGCGGCCGCACTATGAAAGTTAACTGGGTTATTTTTAATTGATCAATCACAATTAACCGGGTTACCAAAAAATCGTCAGTGGCCACTATTTTCAGCAGTTCATTGAACTTAAACCAGGTTAACGGTTACCATAGAAAATAATTGAAGAACAATAGATTTTTTAACCGAGTTAAGTTAATTTTAAATGACCTTTCTGCATGGTTTAACCCCGGGAGGGGGTCTTCCATTTAAAAAGGGCGGGGCTGCTCGTCAGAATTTTTGAAAAGAACCCCTAAGAGGTACCAAGATCCTCTTTTGTTGGCATGGCTTGAAATGTTTTTCACTCCTAAGAGGGACTAATTCTAAAACAACACACTATCTCCTGACATATCTTTTTGCCTCAATACCACATAAGGTACCGCAAGTGTTCCCACTGTGGACCTTTTGAGGCTGAAATCCCTAAGAGGTACTAAGACCACTTTTTTAACCCCTAAAATGTATGGCGAGCACCCCCGTCCTTTTCATATGGGAGTCCCCCCAGGGGTTTAACACAGGTTAGTGGTTTCTTATCAGTGCCATGCTTTAGCTCTTTCGTCAAATGTATCAGTCATTGCGGTCTGCATGAAATGTTGTTCACAGTGGCACAACCAAAAGCATAATCTTCTACTGAACAGGGCGATTGGTAACAACAGTTTGAAGCAGCTGTATTACTATAGTGGATTTCTATTTTCTTGCTAATATGTGTCGGCTATACCATATCAGGCGAGTTTGCAAGGAACCCTCACACCTGAACCATGACCTGAACATGAAGAGTTCATTCACCTTAGAAGGACAAATGTTAATTGACCTCCAACCTCCTCTGGAAGAAAAAATAGGGTGTCCAGAAGGGTGTCCAGAGGAGGGTCCAGAAGGGGGTCCAGAAGTTAAGGGGTCCAGAAGGAGTCCAGATGGGGGTCCAGAAGGGGCCCAGATGGGATCCAGATAGGGTCCACATGGGGTCCAAAAGGGGGTCCAGTAGGGGGTCCACATTTTGAACTGACCAGTGGACAACAGAGGTCCACCAACACGGTGGCTCCATACCGCCTCTGTAAATTTGCGCAAAACATTTTGACAAATATCTCAGAGACCTAAAACTTGGAAAAGTGTCATCTTTACTTGTCTCCTTTAACATAACAATTTCTTGACTTTATCCACTGAATACTTTTCAATTTATTTTTTCGTTGCATGACAGTGAAAACGATCTTTACTAGCCCATCACACATCCCTAACCTCCTGTTTATACAGAATCCTTTTTACCTTCAGTATCTGCCCATCGTCTGGATACTGATCTAGGATGTTCTTTATTTGTTGGAAGAGTGTTGGCTGAAGCAAGTTAAAACCATCATCATCATCATCAATGTCTACATCCACTGGTGGACAAAGTGAAAGGAATTAAATGATTAGATTATTAAAATGTATGCTATCAACTTTCTGGGAGAGGGCTATTTTAAAGAACTGAGAATGCATGTGGTGCATTTTGTTCAAGTTCTTGAATTCTGATCGATAAGCAGTACCTGCACTAAAGCACTAATGGTCACATGTGAGAATACTTGAAGCATACAGCTACATCAAACCATAACTGGTTTCCAAGATCAAGTATGCATGGATATTAAATTTTCCTTGGTCACGGATGCTCACCATTTTTGACCAACTTTTCTCAGAAAGCTGTCCAGTTCTCAGAACGGAACAATACAATATTTGTACTGTATTGCATTGCACATTGCATTGCATTGTACTTTGCATTGCATTGCACATTGCACTGCATTGCACATTGCATACTGCTGAGTGCAGTGCAAATATCCCGATGTTGTTTGTCCTCTGGACAACGTTGATTTTTCTACTACGGATGCAAATTGTGGAATTATCTTTCCAATGACTTGAAATTAGCTGAGAATGTGAATACTTTCAAGCACTGTCTGCAACTGCAATGCTTCTGAGTTGAAAACTATGCATGGGAAAATAATTATTAGAAATTTTTAATTTTAATTTTCATATAGCTCCAGTATTATATATTGTAGTTCTAATGCAGTTTTAACTTTTCTGTATTTGTGTATTTTTATATAATGTTGTCAGTAGTTAAATTTTGAGACCTAAAAGCCCAGATTGGGAGTTACAATAAACATACCGTGTAGCATGAAATTTTTGTGGGACTTTTATTGTGCAAATTGGCGATTTTTTGAGGTTCGCAGGAACAAATTTTTGCGGCTTGGATTGACTGAGATTTCCACTGGGAACTAACTTTTGCTGTTTTCTCTTCAAGCAGCGAGACATCAACAAGGAAGAAAATGTAATATTTTCAACTTTTATTACTTTTTTTGGTAAAACAACAATCTATACTAATCTCAACGACAAGCTGGTCATACAACAAAGTATTTCCGGTTGCAATAAAACATTTCCTGCAGTCAAGCTGTGAAAGCTGATTAACCTTTTATTGTTTTGTTTTGTTTGTAGCAAGCTCTGATGCCAGTATCAGTATCTTTTCTACCCCAATGCACCGGTATGATATAATTATAGTACCACAAGTGGATTAAAAGCCATATTTGATTATATTAACAGAGTAAATTTTTGCGTACTTTAATTTTGCTGTTTGTTTTGTCCGCTGGAACTTATTTTTGCAGAGCAAATACCATCCGCAAAACCCACAACTAGTGAGACAATCTCAGATAGTGCAGAGCGCAATTGATAGCTCTGGTACAATAGTCCCATAAGTACTCACCCCTACTCGGTTCACTTCCGGTTT